ATTTATTTATTTATGAGACTTATATACCGCTTTAAGTGCAAGCGGTGTACACCGGTAAGCAATGTATATATATATTTACATTGCCCCCAACAATCTGGGTCCTCAGTTTACCTACCCCGGAAGGATGGAAGACTGAGTCAACCTTGAGCCTGTGAGATTTGAACCGCTGACCTGCTGAACACAGTCAGCTAAAGTGGCCTGCAGTACTGCATTCTAACTGCTGCGCCACCTCAGCTTTGATGGCAGAATGCCAGCGGGGTGCCAAGCTGAAGATGGCAGACCTGACATAGGCATTCTCAAGAGGAGAGGTCTGGTGCTCCTACACACGTGTAGAGCGACTGCCCTTGCAGCCAGCCTCCAGCCTGGAGCCCCCAGCATGAACCACAGCAGGCCACGTGCCCTGAGTGGGCGCCCTTCTCTTTCTCTCTGCTGCCGCCCCCCTCAGTGTGGGCTGCCTGTGTGTCCCTGCCTCCTGGGAAACACATCATTCCTGTGTCAAAGCAACAACCCACACACACACAGGTGGCACACAGGACTATCGTCTGCCAATGCTGGGGGAGGGGAGGCTGATATGCCTGGCCTTGAAGTGCCCAGCTGCTTCAGTGCAGCATGAGAATGCAGTTACACTCAGGTCAGACACCAGATCCTTGGGAGAGGAGGAGGGGAGGGGGAAGGGGAGGGAAGGGGGAGGGCCAGTTTGTGATACTGTTGGATGCGCGCATACACACACACACACACACACACACACACACACACACACACACACTGAAGGTGTGGGAAGCAAAAGACATCCGGGCCCAGAAGCAGCAAAGGCCATCCTCATAAAGGGGGGGGCACATCTTCTCCCCCCCCCTCAGTTCTGGCATTCCCAAAGCAGCCGAGGTCCTGGGCTCCATCTGGGCCTCAGTTTCACCAAAAGGTCCCTGGGAGAGAGTAGATCTTCTCTCTGGATTTTAGTGACTGGTATGCAGTTTGCCCTGTAATGCTCCGTTTTGGTCTTGACTTTGTTGTAGTCAAATTGCAACCACAATTGGAACCAAACCCCCTGTTGCTAAGTGTGATGGTTATTAAATGAGTTATGCCTAATTGGACAACCTTTTTGCCGTGGTGGTTAGGGGAATCATTGCCGTTGTTAAAGTGACTCACACAGTTATTAAGCAAATCCAGCTTCCCCCCCCCCCATTGACCTTGCTTGCCAAAAGCCAGCTGGGAAGGTCACAGTTCCTGGTCACCTGACCCTGGGATGCCGCGTGTCGGTTGCCAAGACGTGTAAAGATGTGTCGGTTGCCAAGCGTCCCCATTCTGATCACGCAACCACAGGGACTGTGCGCAGTCGTTAAGTGGGAGGATTGGTCGTAAGTCCCTTTTTTCAGCACTGCCGTGACTTTGGTCTTCAAACAAGGGGGTGTCAGTCAAGGACGACTTGTGCCCCTCTGCTTAAAGCCTGCCTGGACGGCCAGAGGTCCAGACTTGAGGAGGGCGGGATCCGTCGGCCAACGTGAGTCAGTTGGGAGAGCATCCGGTTTCCGTTCTCCAGAACAGCTTCCAAAATAAAGCTCATTATAGGGATTATTCTTTACGGCGAGCTTGTGTTACAGAACCCTTCGGTCTTCCGAAGCTGCTCCTTTGATTTTCTCAAATATTGGTTTATTCCCTTCCACCCAAAGGTGTCTTTTTGTTTCAAAATCCTTACTGATTTATATATCAAATTTCCAGGCCACCCACCTCCAGGCTGGCTCTGTGCAATGTCATAAATTAGTAAATGGAAAGAGAAAACGTGAGGTAAAAACCAAAATGGAAAGAGAAAACGTGAGGTAAAAACCAAGGAGATCAACCAAGCTCCTCTCCGCATCATCTCCAGCCTGAGGGGGCACCGGTGTAAGCCCCTAGCCCACGTTGGGTGAGCCTGGGGAAAGGGGGGGACGGATGGGAGGGCCACTCGCCCTTTCTTAAATGGACAATCCTTTATTTCAGAAAGCGGCCCTCTAGAATCACCTGTCTATGTTAGCTAACTGGGTTTGCTCTTGACTCGCCTTTTGTGAAACAACAACTTTTAAGGCTTATGGACTTCTTCCAGATTTGCCTCCTCGTTAGGTCCAAGAAAATGTGGTCATTGAAGGTAGGGTGGGCCCCGACGACCGGCCACGAAGGGCTGCTTCCGGGTCCCAGCTGAACCTAGCAGGCCAAGTCTGTCTGATCCCAAAGACGGGCAGCTGCGACTGGAGACGGACGGGCCGCCATTTTACTCTTCGCTTCCAAAAATCAGGGAGCCTGGAGCGCCTTTCCCAGCTCCCGATGTGGACTGAAGGCAGGAGCTGCCACTTAGCACATCGGTGGCAGAAAGTGGCTGGACCGATGCCTCAACTGGGAGGAGGTAGGGAGGGACGGGAGAAAAGAGGAGGCCGGGTGCTCCATGCGAGACAGATGATAGGAATGCATCGTGCTCGACTTGCGACGGTTCAACAACCACCTGAGGAAAAACAGCAAGGACAAAAGGGACTGACAGCTGGTTTCGTCCGGCCCGATCCGGCAGATTGGGCAAGCTGCAGCGCCCACCAGCCAGAGAGCCGACTGGCAGGAACTAGGGGACTAAGCTGCCCAGAGTCTCTTCAAAATAAGACGGGCGGCAAATAAATGTAATCCATAAATAAACTACTAGAAGATGGGCTTTTTCTGCCGCAGCCCCTGCCCTGTGGAATATCCTCCCCTTGGACATTAGAATGGCCCCACCACTGTCGGCTTTTCACAAAGCTTTAAAAACCTGGGCCTGGGCCTGTGTGAAGGGCCCTGTCTCTTGTCTTTGCTGTAAGGCAGGGCTCTTCAAACTTGGCCCTTTTAGGACTTCTGGACTTCAACTCCAAGAATTCTGGGAGTTGAAGTCCACAAGTCCTAAAAGGGCCAAGTTTGAAGAGCCCTGCTGTAAGGGGATTAAGCATCACAGCTGCTCTTTTTACTCATTTATTGTTTGGATGCATTTGTTGTTTTAATAATAATGTTGGAAGGGATCTTGGAGGTCATCTAGTCCAACCCCCTGCTCAGGCAGGAAACCCTATACCGTTTCAGACAAATGGCTGTCCAGTCTCTTCTTAGAGACTTCCAGTGTTGGAGCATTCACCGCTTCTGGAGGCAGGTTGCTCCACTGGTTTTAATGATCTTTTAATTGTTTTATTATTTTAGAGTTGTAAGCCACTCAGAATCACTCGGTTGAGTTGGACGCTATAGAAACTGATTGAATAAATAAAAAAGTAACACCTGTCTCTTTCTGCTTTGAGAGTTTAGCGGGAGGTGGCCTGTGCAGGCCAGTCTGAAAGCTTCACCATGTGATGGTTTAATTTATAGTTCTCTCCCCCCACCAATCAGGTTCTCTTAACTTTCAGGTAGCTAAACAAGCTTTGAGGCTATTTTTCACCCAACGTCCATCCAGATGGAACAAGGTGACAGAGACCCGCTCCAGCAAAGGATAAATTTATTTATTCTAATGATAAATTATGGAAAGCCAGATTGGAAAAAGTTGAGTATGCTTTAAGAATTGGAGGAAGAAACATCAATAAACCTGTGCTAAGCTAATCGTATTACTCTGACGGGTGAAAATGCAAAGGATCTGCAAGCTGTAATAATAAAAGTGAAGGAGTATAGTGGGGGAAAATGGGACTAAAAGTAAATTTAAAGAATACCAAACGGATGACCGCAGCTACAGCAACTAGCTTTAGAACCGATAATTAACAAATTGAGGGGGGGGGAGAGAACTTTTGCTTTCTAGACTCAACCAGCCACAGGAAAGGAACAAGCAGTCAAGAGACAGACAAGCCATGTTTCTGGCTAAGCCAGGAAGAGTGTGCCACTTCTGCTGCCTCCCTGGGGGGGCCACTTTGGGGAGAGGGTGAAGTGGGGCTGGAGCTGCTCTAAGGAATCCATGTTGTCCCTCAATTCCTCCCTCCAACTCCAGAGTCTGTTCAGCCCCACTCAGCGAAGGCTGCCAACAAGGGGGCAGTCAGAGACGCCAGGGAGGCGCTAAGATGGAAGCCATCTTTCCGACATTCCAGGGCTACAGGTGCTTAGCCAGTGTTGTGTGAACCCACCCGATGACTCTTTGCACCTGTAAGGTGAGAGAGAGCAGCTGCCCTGCTGCCTTCAATAACCTGGGAAGGTGCATCCCATGATCCAGGCTGGGTGGTGGAATCCATGGATTCTTCTTGGGCTGGATGATCCCACACAGGGGATCCACCAAGCAGCCGACCACGCTGGGGGCTGGGACCAGGTCCTGGGCTGGAGCCTGGAACGATCGAGGCAATTTCACCAAGAAACCGATAAAGGGGGCAAGGCGGGTGCCCAGGGGCCGTGGTGAGCGGGTGCCCCCAAAGCGACTTAGAAGGGGAGGCACCGGAGAGGACCCAGCAGTTACACCCCCTCCAAGATGCACAAGAGAAGGCGGGGGGGGGGAGGCGGCAGGCGCGGAGCTCCTGCTAAGGTTGGGGTGCGGAGCCTCGAGGATCAGCCGGAATTCATTGGCAGGTAACGCGCAACCCGCTCCGCGGCTCCCGCCTCGGCCAGGTAAACAGCACCTGTGTCAACAACGGCCGGGCGCTTCCGCTGTCCCGAGCAAACAGGACGTGCCTGGCAGGTCGGCCGCTGCTGGGAAACTGCCCCGCCTGACGGGAGGCCCCAGGCTGCTCTCCGCCGCCCGCCCCGCTCCGAAAGAGGGAGGAAGCGGCGCCTCTGCGCCGGGATGGGCAGGGTCGGCTAGGCCCGGACCCCGGGATCCCACCGAGCTGCCTCCAGGTTTCCCCGCAGCTCCCAGGCCCCCTGCGCCCGCCGAACCCTCTTCCCCGCGCCCGCCCAGGCCCGACCCGACGAGCCGCGACCTGGCAAGTGGGCTCCGTCCGCCCGCCCCGCCCCCGGCCCGCCCCCGGCCCTCCGCTCGTCCCCCGCAGCGCAGGGCAAGCGGGCGCCGGCGCCGTCGGGCCCCCCCTCGGGCGGGGCGGGGCGGATCCCCCTGGCCGCCGTCAGGGGGCGCTCGGCCGTGGCTGCGGACGGCGCTGCTCAGAATCCGCTGCGGCGCCGAGGCTCCCGCAGCCGCCTCAGGAAGCGGAGCGGGCGACCGGGGCGGCGGCTCTCGCTCGGGGCTGCGCTGCGGGGAGCCCGCCGGGATGGGCGCCCGGCGCGGAGGGGACTGAGCGGCGGGCACTGACGGCCCGACGGAGCTCGCCGCGATGGAGGAGCCGCGGCTGCTCAACGCGTCGCTGCTCTGCCGCCCCGCGAACGGCTCGTCCCACAGCGGCGCCTGGAACGGCACCGGCGGCGGCTGCGGGACTCTCCGCCGGTCCCGAGGTGAGGCTCCCCGGCCCGGCCCCCGCCCTCGCGGCCGCCTCGGCACGCAGCCCTGGCTCCTGCCGGCAGCCCCGCCGCTCGTCCTTTCCTCTGGAGGCTGGCACCCCGAACGGCGCCGGGACGCCCGCAAGGCTTCCGCGGTGCGGAGGGACCCGCCTCTCTCCCGGCCCCCCCCGTTCTGCTTTCCCTAGTCCTTGAAGTGCCTCTGCGCATATGAAGAGCGCTCCTCCCTCCCTTCGCCCGGAATGCGGGCACGAGGGCTGAGGTCGCTGGGCCCCCGCGGAGCCGGGGAGGGGGAGGCGGCGCCGAGAGGGGCCGCTTTGGGCTGACTGAGCTCCTGGCTGTGGCTGACCCGAGTCCTTTGGTGGGTTCTGACGTGCCCCGAAACCCAACAAAGATGCCTGCCCCAGATGAAGCCAGGCCGGCTTCCCTCTTAGCCCCGGAGCGTCCCTCCGCTCTGGAACTTTCCCGGGGTTGCCCTGGAGCCGAACGGGCTGAGGCTGGCGTAACATTTCGGGCGTTCGGTTGGGCGTCCTGAGCCTGGTTCATGCCGGCCTCCCCTCCCCACCCTCCGCTCTGCTTCCGTGGGTCCCAGCTGCCTGCCTGCATCCCGAAGCAGGGCCGGGGGCAACCGGTGGGCACGAGGGCAAGGCCAGGCACAAGACCCAGCTCTGCCGGGGAGGGGGGCTTCCTGCTGGGTCTGCCTCTCCCCCAGTGGGTGGCGGGGGCCCCGGCCTGGCCCTCTGACTCAGATTGGGGGTGTCCTCTGCTCTGCCCCCCAGAGTTGGACCTGGCAGTGCGGGTGCTGCTCTACTCGGTGATCTTCCTGCTGGGCCTGTGTGGGAACGCGCTGGTCATCGCGGTGCTGGTGGTCAACAAGCGGCTGCGGACCATCACCAACTCCTTCCTGCTCTCGCTGGCGCTGAGTGACCTGATGGTGGCGCTCTTCTGCCTGCCCTTCACCTTCATCCCCAACCTCATGCACACCTTCATCTTCGGGAGGGTCATTTGCAAGGCCGTGGCCTACCTGATGGGTGAGGGGGCTCGGCCTGGCCTGGGGTAGGGGGTGTTCTCTGAGTGCAGCAGGCTCCTCGCCCCACCTTCTTCCTCTTCCTGGGAAAGGGCGGGTGACCCACCCGGGTGACCCACCCGGTGCCATCTGACCTGCCTTACGCCCCCATCCCTCCCCAGGGTTGTCAGTGAGCGTCTCTACCTTCAGTCTGGTGGCCATCGCCATCGAGCGCTACAGCGCCATCTGCAGGCCCTTGCAGTCCCGGGTGTGGCAGACCCGCTCCCACGCTTATCGGGTCATCGCCGCCACCTGGTTGCTCTCGGCACTGCTGATGCTGCCCTACCCGGTGTACAGCACTACTCAGCCTGTGCGCGGCCAGCCCCACCTCACCCAGTGCAGCCACAACTGGCCTGGGCACCACGTCAACCAGGCCTGGTAAGTTGTGTGGGGGTGGGGGTCCCCCAAGTGCTCCTCAAAGTGCCCATCTGCCTCCCCATAGCCCATGTTGCCATGTTGCCCAGCCAAGAGCCATGGAGCCCCAGCTGGCATTAGGAGGCACCTGCCGGGGGCCTCGTCAGACTGGGCCCCCTTGGCTTTGGGGCCACGAGCCGAGCAGGCAGACTCGGCCCTAGAGGAGAACTGCCAGGGGAGGCCCACCCGTTGCCAGGGTCTCTTCTCTGGCCGAGCCCTGTTTAGGGCCAGCCAGGATCACGGCAGCCACGGCAGCAGCCTGCGATGGTTGGGGAGAAGCCGTCTTCGGCCGCGGTCTTGACCCGTCTCATTTGCGTTGCACGCGAATTGAGCAGAGATCGGGGCGGCAGCAACAGTTAAGTTGGAAGCTGCCAAAAGCTGCATTTCTTTCTCCTGATATAAGAATGATGAAGCGAGCCTGTGCTTCAGGCTGGATCGCCTCTGCCACCGATTGGCCTGGCACGGGGTGGCCAAGGTCAAGCGCCTGCATCAGCCCTGCAGTGGCTGGCATCTGCTGGCCTATGGGGCAGCTCCTGCCTTGAAACTGGAGACCGTGGGCCCCGTAGGGAGGTTGATCCCTCTTGTGTGTTGGCCTCAGGACCAACCTCGGCTCTGCCTGGGATCCTGAGGAGTGCACAGCCCAGGAGCCAGAGGGAGGGATCGGGGGCAGGGGGCAGCATCTGGGCACGTTTCCTGAGGGTCTCAAGGATTTCCTCCTCCCATTCCTTGGGAAATGGGGCTGGGGGCAAGGAGAAGCAGCACATCACGTGCAAAGCTCAGTTCTTTCAAGCTCTGTGCAAGGGGTTCCCGTGAGGGCGGAGGAGGAGAGACGTGGCCCGTGGCAGGGAAGGGTTTGGCCTGGGGAGGACCGTTCTCACGACAGCCTGATCAGGATTGGACCCTGGCTGTCCTCTGATCACCCTGGGGATGGGGGCGGGGGGGGGCTTCTTTGTCTCCTGGCTTGAGCTTGTGGGTTTGATGTGCTCCCTGCCATTCTGTCCACCCTGGGGGGGGGTGAGGGGGGATTTACAGACAGAGGAGCACAAATCAGACAGATGACGACAGCCTCATAAACAGGATTTAAACATTCATAAGGATGCGTCTTCCTTTCCAATGAGTCTGGCAGGGTGAGGTCATTGGCGAAGGTCTCATGGGCTGGGCTCCGTCTCCATCTCTTCTGGCCTTGAACAGTTCATTTCACACCCTCAACGGAGAGCCAGCCAGCCGTGGGCAGGGGGCACCGCTGGGGCTTGCCTGGGAGTGCCAGCAGGAGATGAAGCACGGAGACGTGAGGACCTTGAGGGCATGAAGCAAGTGGGGAGGGGGGGCTTGGCTTCAAATTCCTCACCCACCCATCTGGGGTTTTGGGGGAAGGTCCCAGCCTAGAGAAGACCCTGCACAAATCGCAGACCAGGCCCAGCAGTTCCTATGGCAGCACTTGCTAAGCCTGAAGGGTTTTAATTCAGGTTGAGTGTTTATCTAACATCTTCTGCAAATCCACCTTTTCCGTTGATATATGGTAGGTGTGCTACACAAAAGCCTTTGTCGTAATTCAGTTCGTGCAGATTTAGTGGCTGGTGTGGCTCTCCCCTTCCTTCCCCGCTAGGTATGTGCTGCTGCTCATCACACTCTTCCTCGTCCCGGGACTGGTCATGATCGTGGCTTATGGGCTGATTTCCTCCGAGCTCTACAGGGGGATCCAGTTTGAGATGGACCTCTCCCGGGAGGCCAAAGGTGGGTGCCAGGTGAAGGGGGTGATCTCTGGGTATCATGAGAAAGCAAGGACTTGGAGGGTGATGAGGGGCTGGAGGATCAGTGTCAAGTTGGAGAAGCTGGCCTTCGTCATAAAACAGACTTATGACTGTAACGGAACCCGCCCATCACATCACATGACTGACCTCTTTTTGGTTGTAAGCTGAAAACCAAAACTAAATGCCAGATTAAGTAAACGCCAGTCACCCGAAGGTCGGGCAAAGGAAGCGATGGATGGAAACGAATGAGAGAGAGACCCAATCTAGAAATAAGGAGAAACTTCCTGACACTGAGAACAATCGATCAGTGGAACAGAACTTGCCTCCAGCAGTTGTGGGTGCTCCAACACCGGAGGTTTCTAAGAAGAGTCTGGATAGCCACTGGTCTGGAATGGTCCCTTCCAATTCTGTTCTTCTGTTTCCGTTCTGTTTGGCAAGCTGAGGTCAAAAGGCATTTTATTGGGCAAAGCAGCAGAAATTACGCAACTGGGCTGGAGATAGATAGATACCAGTTTAGTTGATTGTGGGGATGTAGTAGATGTAATATACCTTTATTTCAGTACAGCTTTCAGCCTAGCTTCTCAGTTTTGTAGGCAAGCAAAAATAAAGATAGGGCCCAAGGAAAGACTGTGAGATGGAGCCATAGCTTAGCGCAGTGGTTCTCAACCTGTGGGTCGGGACCCCATTTGGGGTTGAACGACCATTTCACGGGGTTCCCCAAACCATGCTGTCCACCATTTTTTCCCTTTTCCCTAGCTGTCCTATTCCCTCTTATTGGTGGCCACACCCACTTGGGGGTCACCACAACATGGGGAACTGTATTATGGGGTCACGGCATTAGAAAGGTTGAGAACCACTGGCTTAGCGGAACAATTGCACACAGCCGACACTTTTTTTCAAGCGGACCATCCCAGGCCCCATCATGCTAGACCCTTTTATAAACAGCTAACCCCATAAACTGATTCCCATCAAATCTGAGGCTCAGGGGGACCAAATCCTTATAAAAGAAGGAATCAATATTTAAGCCATTCTTGGCAGGTATGGAGGCTGGACCAAAACCAAAGAGATAAAATTGGGACACAAAAAGTGAATGCTCGCATTTAGGCTTAAACCAAAAAAAAAGAGAAAGGGGGGGGGGAAAGCAAAATGTCAGCCTTGGCAGCAGCCAGAGAAAAATGACAAGTGGGTCACAAATGGCAGGTCTGTGGGTGGCAGAGGGCAGCGGTTCAAAAGAACCGCTGGCGGGTCCGGCTGCAGTAACAGAAATACGGGATGAGAGAGAAGCCGCTTGCTCTGCCCGAGGGGGGGGAGAATGTGCTCAGGGACCCTCCAGGGATGGAGGGAGAGTGAACTGGCTGATGGATGCGCAGACCTGGTTTTTGCCAAGGGCCGTCACTGTCCATAATGCAGGCGGGGGTGGTGGATCCACTGCTCCCTTTGGGATGCAGCCCTCGGAACCTCCTGGGACAGCCAGCTCGCCCTTGCTCCTCTGCCTCTCCTGGTCTTGCAGAGGAGATGGAGGGGGCCTGCTCAGGTATCTCTTCCCTCACTCAACAATCACCACTTGGCCCCCTTTCCTGGAGCATCCCTGAATAGAATTAAGGAAACACCGCGGGTACTGAAGCATCAGCAGGATCACCACGGGCTGCCTGGGCCGAACCCCCGGAGCCCCCTCTGAGGGGCCAGGCATCCTCCACAAGGCACCTCTCTGTCTCTGCCTCCCTTAGCTCGGCCAAACGGAACCACCATGGAGCTCCTGGCCACCAGTGACGAGGGCGACGGCTGCTACATCCAGGTGCCCCAGCCTGCCGAGAGCCCGATGGAGCTGCCCGCCATGAGCCCGGAGGACAGCGCCAAGCAGGAGCGGGCACGCATCAACAGCTCCAAGGCCAAACTGCTGGCCAAGAAGCGGGTCATCCGGATGCTGGTGGTGATTGTGGCGGTTTTCTTTGGGTGCTGGCTGCCCATCTATGTGGCCAACACCTGGCGGGCCTTCGACCCCAAGGCTGCCCAACAGGCCCTCTCAGGGACCCCCATCTCCTTCATCCACCTGCTCTGCTACGCCTCCACCTGCGTCAACCCCTTCATCTACTGCTTCATGAACAAGCGTTTCCGCCAGGCCTTCGCCACCACCTTCGCCTGCTGCGCCACGCCCTGCTGCCGCCGGAGATGTCATGCCCACGAGGAGGAGGCCGCTGCCACCGGGGCTTCCTTCTCCAGGTTCAGCTACACCACGGTCAGCAGCATCGTCCCCGCCGAGCACTGAGGCTCCCAGCCTGGCCCCACGCCTGGCAGCCCTGGGGGTCGTGTCTGGGCACCCCACGGCCTCTCCCTCCCCCCCCTTCCTCACAGTGGGGGCTTCCCCTGCCTGCCTTTTGCAGACCCCAGGCTGAGGAGGAGATTTCACGGGCCCAAAAGCCTGGGAGGGAACAGCTCTGTTGAAGGGGGGAAGGGATGGGTGGACAAAGCTGCTTCCGCACGGGCCTAAAAGAGGTCATCTCTTGTCCCATCTCTTCCCCGTGGCCCCCCCCTGCTCTGAAGCTCTTGATTGCTGTGCTGTGCCCCCCCCATTCCCTGACTGATGGGAGGAGGTGTAAAATTGGGGAGGGGGTTTGCAGGGCACCCTAAAGGGGTCTGGCTCGTGGAGTCCAGCAAGGCCTCGGTGCTGCCTGAGACAAGAGCTGAAGCTGACTCAGCCATGAGTTCCACATGTTGGGGGAGTTAACAGCCCCATAACCACTGGCCTGCCTCACAGGGCTGTTGTTGCCAGTCCAGAAAAGGAGCAGCGATGCTCAGTCTTTGCCTCCAGGATCTCTACTACCCCCTGCCCTCCTTTCCTGGACACCCCCTCGCACCTGGTTTGTATAGCTGTGTGCCACCGTCCCTCCCCCCCCGAGATTTTGTGGCCCCGTTTTTCACCAGCGGAAGATCCACTCATGTCGGTTTGGGCCGGGGGGGGTCAGTGGGGGCTATTTCTGTAGCTTTCTGTGCAATAAAGTTCTTGAAATGGCGCTGCTGCCAACGCAGATGGAACGGGCTGATCTGGGTCTCTGGCACAGACTGAGCCTGGGGGGGGCTGCCTTCTGTCCTCCCCTCCCTTGCTTCCTCCCCCCCCCCTTCTGCACCATTGCTTGCAAACACCCACTGCTGGCGTCTGCGTCAGCCCTATTGCAGAGGGACAAGAGAAAAAGCAGGGACCCACATGCTCCATGCCCCACAGCCTCCCTCCCTCCAAGCCTAGAAGATGGATCCACTTGTGGATGGGCAGCCCTCGGCCATCTGGCTACTCACCCGAGACCCAAGGCCAGGAAGAGCAGATCCAGGCAGCTGCCACCACCTGCTCTCTCTCCCCCCCCCCTCAGAATAAGCCCGAGAGACGCCAGGGCAGAAGGTGCCCGTCCCAGCCAGAGCAGTGCTGGAGCCAAGTGCTCTCCCCCCCCCCCCCGCCTTCCTTCCTCCCCCTCCTGGTCACCTCATTGCATTGGCCTTGCTGGGCTGGTAGCAAAATCCTTGGGCCTCTGGCACGTGGCTGGCTGGTCCTCCCTGGACAAGCGGGGCTCCCGGGAAAGGTCCCGAAGGAAGCCTGGGACGCCCAGCTTCTGGGGCCCTGATGGAGGGAGGGGCCCCTTTGCACTCCCTTCGCCACTGGTTGGTGAGGCCCCGATGCCAGCTGGTAGCCAGGGAGGCACGGTTGACCTTCCCCTCCATGACAGCTCAGTGACCAGCTTCACCCCAGCTGCTGGACCAGCCCGGGGTTGGGGAGGGGGCATTGGTGACTCCAGGTGTGGTGGGAACCGGAGGCCCCCTGGAACCGGCATCTGAGGTGCTGCTTTGGTTTGCCTTTGCCTCCACTGAGGGTTTAATTGCATAATGTGGGCCTGTCCAGAGGGGTTTTCTGAAGGCCCCCAACTTGCTTTGGGTCAAGACTGGGTGGGATCCCTGGGGGACCTTTGTTTGCTCCGTCATGGGCTGTTTCTCCGTTCAGCCTCGCCCAGCTGTCTGGCAGAGGAGGCTTCCCACGGACGGGGTATGGGGAGATTTGGTCTCCTGGACTGGATATCTGGGCTCCCAGTGGCAACTGGGCTCGTCTGCTTCTCTTTTAAGATCAGCCAAGGGGGGCACATATGCAGAATGCAAGCATTTATTTATGTATTAAACAAATTCACACATAGGTGACTCCAAGCAGCTTAATTTTTTTAAAAAAACCCACCATATAATAAAAACCCATTAAAAAAACCACTCCATGGCAGCAACAACACAATCGCATCAGCCGTTTGGTGGGCTCCGTCTCCACTTGTGGTCCCAGATCTGCTGACCGAACCATGTTTTGGGGGCCTTTTGGAAGCGCAACAGGTGGGGCCCAATCGGTGTGGTTCCCTTTTGCTCACTCACTCTTCCCAGCAGACGGTTCCTTTCCCCCGTGAATCCTCCCCCCCCCCGCGCATGACGTGGCCGAAGCGAGTGGCACTTTCGCCCTCTGGTGGCCGGGCTGGGGGTTGTGCGCTCTGGAGACTTACTCAGCTCCGGTCAGCTGCATGGCCCGAGGGAGGCGGGCAGGGCCACTTCAGGCGCAGGTTTGGTGTTCCCGGCCAGTCGACCTTGAAGCCCTTGAAGAGTCTCGGGGAGATACGGTGAAATTTTCGTTTGCCTCGAATCCTCTCCCGTCCAGAGCCCGCCTCGAGTTCATGGCAGCCTGGCACTGAGTGGTAGCAAAAGGCAAGCGTGGGGTGGCGGCCGGCCTTGCCTGCGCGTTGCCCGTGGGGGCGTGTGTAGCTGCGGCTGAGCGTTGCCTGTAACCTGGCCCAGGGGTGGCGGCTTCAGGGGGCACACGAGGAAGCTGGTTCATTGGGGAGAAGGCAGAGGGGAGGCACCGCTTTGGCCCGTTTGATTTCGGCAGAGGAGGGAGACGGCGCGCCCGCACCTGGGATCGGCAGGCAAGGCGCCAGGTTTCTTTCCTGTTCTGAAGATGACAGGAATTGTGCCCAGATGGCAGAAAGGCAGTCTGAAAGCCCCCCCCCCACTCCTGGCAAAGCGAAGGTGGAGGGCCAGAGGCAAAGCCTCGTCTACAGGGAGGGAGGGGGACACAGAGGCTGGGGGCGATGGGATTGGAGGCTCTCAGGCAGTCTGCCAGGTGCAGTGCCGCTTCCTGGGCATCCGGCTGTCATTTGACAGAAGGGGGAGATCCTTTCCGGCTGGTCCTCCCGGGAACAGGCGTTGCAAGGGGCAATGAAGGGCTGGCAGGAGGAACGACGGGAGATATGGGGGCAATTGCAAAGGACACGACCCAGCAAGAGGGAGGGGGAGAAGGTGAAGATCAGGGGAGGGCAGCACCTGGCAAGGAAGGGCCGTGCCTGGTGGGAGCCGGCAAGGCTTTAAGCTGAATCCTGCAATCGTGGGAGCCGAGAGCCCGGAGAAGAGCGGGTGTGGTCTTCTTCCTGACAGTTCCTTGATTTGAATTTTGTTTTCTGCTTGATTGTTTGTCTGGAGTTAATCCCTGCTTATCTGGCTGTTGGTTGGAGATGTTTTCTGGTCTTTTTATTAGCTTTTTTGCTGACTCTTTTGAATGGGTGTAAATAAGGTGTGTGTGCCTATTAATGGCTGATGTGTCTGAGTTCCAAGCTTCCAGAATTCCCAAGCGTTTTTGCCCATGTGTTGTAAGATTAAAGAGTCATCCTTAATCTCATTCATCACCTTTAATCTCTTTCATCATCCTTAATCTGACAACAGACAGACAGGGCCAAGCGGCGTTTCGGCTGGGAAATGGTGAGCATCCCAGATTATGTTAAACCCAAACGTGCTAAGAAGACATTCTTGCTTCTTACCAGAAGGCCAGGACATGCCCTCTCCGCACTCACTGGCCCTGATGAGATTCCCTAGCTGGGTCATGAAACGTCTGCAAGAAAACTATCAAATTGAGATCAACGACCCACCCTCCTCCTCCTCCTCCTCCTCCTCCTCCTCCTCCTCCTCCTCCCCACTCCCCCAAGAGGGCAAACTGTTATGCACTGGGGGGGGGGGAAGGCAGGGCCCCACTGCTGTCATGCTGTCACTGCTGCCCTCAACCGAGGAGGGTCCGGCTCTTGTAAAAAAAAATAAAAAAGGCAGATACCTGTCAGGATTCAGGGCAGAGCAATGAGATGGAAGCGGCCTCAGCTATCCAGAGGGTGATCTGGGGCAGGCATGTGGGGTGTGTGAGTGAGGGCAGCCCTTTCCTCCCTGGTGGATTCCCAGCTACCCTCAGTCTTGGTGGGCCTTCTGGGCTGCCTGCAGCACTTTGGAGCCAGGAGTTCCCAGCTGGGCGGAGAAGAGTTCGGGCCTTTGGCAGTGCCTGGGGTGGGGCAGGGGGGGCTGGCCTCCCCTCATCTCTTTTCAGCAGTTCATGAAGCTGCTAGGAAAGGCCATTTGTTGGCTTCAGTTGAGGCCCATTGATAGCTTGAGGGTCGCTAGTTACACCTCTCGTCCCAGGCCTAGCAGGAGATGTGGGGGAAGCTTGGACTCAGCGTCCCAGCAAGGTGGCCGCTGATCCTGAAGCTCCTTCCCTGGTTCTGGATGGGGCTGAGCCCCCTGGGAAGCTAAAGCAAAGGGGGAAGCCCTGGTTAGGGGGCATTTGGCCACCTTCGTGGGCATGTCAGTGACCCTCGCTCCTGGCATGAGAGAGATGCTGGCCACTTCTACCTTTGTCACCTCATTGTTGGACCACTGCAATTCACTCCACACAGGGCTGACCCTGGGCATCTCCCCAAAGCAGCTATGATAGGTGCAAAATGTAGGTGCTCCCCCGGCTGGCTGGCAGAGAGCAGCACGGACTCAATGCCATCCTGTCCAGATGACCCATCCGGCCTTCCCTGGAACGTCTAGGGAGCCCCATGTCTCTTGGACACCAGGACCGACCCCTGTGCAGGTGAATCCTGAAGCATTTCCCCAAATATCTGGATGGCCCTGACTTGCTGGCCTTTCGCAAGGCGATGATGACCCGGTGGCCCATCAGGCCTTTGGGCTGCAGGATGTTCAGTGGGCCTGGCTGGTGGGTTGGTCTGCTGTTGCTGCAAATAGGCCATTTGGGCCTCTGGCACACGTTGGGTTGCAGCGCTGGTTCCTTTTTCATTAATTGAGCAGTTTTGTTGATTTTTGGCTCCGATTTCTTGTTAGCCAAGTAGAGTTGCCCCATTCATTAAAAAGGTCCAGGTGGAGAAGTGAAAGGAGAAATTAAAGCCACATTCATCCGGGACAGGCCGGGCACAGAGGGAGGCTCTGGGAGTTACCCAAAAGAGGTGGGACCTCTTGGGCTTCAGGGAAAGACCGACCTGGACAACAGTGGCCGCTCCAGGGGACGCTGGCTGCCGCTCTGCCAGTCCTCCAGAGGACCCTCCTCAGTCCAGAACCATTGGGTCCCGTTCCTGGCCTGTCATGCGGTCGGGCCTCTCCTGCAGAACGGAGGCCTCGGAAAGGTCAAGCAGGTGCCTGGGAGGATACACTTGTCTGGTGCCACCCTCCCGAGACCTTCCTCTTCCTCTTTCGTTGGGGGGAACGAAAGGTCAACAATGGGTCCAGCTGGACTACTCCATCTCTGCTGTTTTCCCCTGATTTCACTACTATTGTCTTCTGGGGTATCGGCTACCCACTGTTTTCAATTGCCCCCCCCGGGGGGGGGGGTCTGACCCACACGGTCACTCCGACCTCCCCAGAGCTGGGTTCTTGCAATGCACTTCACTCGATGAGGCAAAGGCCTCTTGGCCACACGGGCAGCTTCTGAATCCAACCGGTTAGAAGAGACAACCGCATTATGCAACCGCTGAAATGAGCCGTGTCGGTAATCAGCTTAAGTAGGTTGTGTGAAGGCGGCCAATTGAGGGCCTAAGAGCCTTTGGTCAATAATGCAATACTAAAGTGGCCATTTTAGTGGATAGATATCCAATGCTCACTTCTATTTGAGAAAATCACTTGCGACATATCGGAAAGGTGACATTTTGTCAGCAAAGTTAGGAGAGTTTTCTTTGTCTCCTGCAAAATTTGAATCCCTTTCCTTATGTGCC